GAGAGAGAGTTGAGAAAATAATTAGCTAAGGATTAGTCACCCCCCTTCAAGGTTGGATCTCACTGCTACTTATAGCCGTGAACATGATTCCAGAACCTTCGTAGCCAAACCCTAATTCGGCTCCGCAGGGCCCGAGGGATCGTAGATTGTAGGTAGGAGATTCATGGGCTGGGCCGCGGGCCGAGCAGGGGTCGGGACCGAGAAGGGGTCGGGACCGAGCAGGGGTCGGGACCGAGCAGGGGTCGGGACCGAGCCCTCTCGACCCGGTTAGTTCTCCGCCAGTCGCTTTCCTCGTTCTCTGCCCCGGCGTTAGGTCGCTCTTTGGGCCGGCCCGTTACGTCACGGGCCGGTCTCCCCCAATCAATGATCTCAGATTTCAACTCCTTGTCCCGTTTCAGGTCGTTTTTGTTCTCCATAACAATATTTAAAATCAATTACTAAAAAAAATGCGTAAGATTTGATTTGCATTAAATAAAAAATATTTAAATACAAATAAATTAAATTAAGAGGGACAATTTGGAAACAAAATATTCTGATTCAAATCTTGACACCTGGTTTTGTAAATAATTAACATAATATTCATTATGCAGTACTGGTTCACTATGGGCAAAAACTCTATTTTCAAACTACATTATTTCTTTAAAAATTCATTCTTTTAGAAAAACACAGAAGGGTCAACTATCGGTCAAAAGAATTAAAAAGCCATTTTGAAATAAAATTGTACATTTTAAAATTTTGGTAACTAAATAGACATTCTAGTTAAACCAAGTGTCTATTATTGAAATTTTAGATACCAAATAGATGCCTACTCCAAACTTCACCAATCAAAAAAATATTTTTCTCAAAAATAAATTAAAAAAAAAAAAGACTTTCCAAGATATCTTGTAAGAAGTTGCTAGGATGGTGATTATAAAGCAACATGACGTTATCAGTGACATATTAACGATGGCAATGGCCATCAACTTTTCTTCTGCGGCGGCCCATTTTTGTATACACAGACAACAAAAAGAGAAGTAAAAAGTCACTCTTCTTTCCGATTATATAATTGGGGATTTGAGTTCAACTTTTAATTTGTTCAGAAATATCAGGAAAAAAAAAAAGAAGTTAAAACTATGGCTTCAAGTGGAGCTAAGGAAGATCCATATCGTTGGCTGCTCAATGGGGACGTAGAGAAGAACACCACTTGGAAATTTGGAGCTCCTCCCAACTATGAAGCTGTCAACAACCTCTTTGAACAAGGAAGAACTAAGGTGAATCCCCACACAATATAGTTTAAGACAACACAACTTTTATATAGTATCCGAGTTATGTGTTGTTGATTACAAACACTTTTTGAAATTTATTGTGATGTTTCCCTGTTTGACTAGAATTGCTTAGAAAATGTTTAAATTTCATAAACAATGGCAAGTTTTGATCGTATAATTTCCATTTTAATTCTTAAACATTCAAAGAATAACTATATTAATTTTTGTTATTATTATAATACCTAATATCTAGATTATTTATAACCTATGTGGCTAGTATACGATGGGTTAGTATGCATATTGGAAGTCTAACAATTAACCATCAAATAATGGCAAATCTTTCCTTTTTTAGTTCTAAGACTAAAATTGACATTTTAAAATTTATGGACTAAATTAGAATAAAATCAAATCATTTTAAAGTTCATTAAACGTTATTAAATCGTAATGAGATTTAAACTACCGATATAAGTGTTCAAATACTTTAATTAATATTACAGGCATGTTTGTGCCATCATCAAGAATGAGATTTGACATGATTTTTTTTCAGACTTATTATGATGTTGGGACTACATAGTCAAACATGATACTTTTAAACAAAGCATATATTAGAATTTCTTCTAAAAATGTTTATAGTCTAAAAAGTTTTTGGAAATTATATCCTATCTACTTGGTGTTTGGAAGATTTGGCCTCCTGGATCTCTGGAGGAAGAGGTGCAAAACTTGGTCAAGAATTGGGAAGTGGAGAATATCAACAAAGTGGTACCTGAGGACTTCAAAATAATGGATCCCAAGAAAGTAACTTTCAGTCTCAATGGTACTAATCTCCAATCCAACAAACACTCTTGTTTTTCAACTGGTTTTTCCCTCTAAACTTTCAATTTTCATGTCGTTTTTCCAGGAAGGAAGCCCATAACCTTGGAGGAGAAGCGGAAGTTAGGCGGTGGGTACAACGCTTCGCTTCAAACCTCTCTTCCCGCAAAGTACAGACTGTACAACCTCGAAGAGGAAACCGCAGAGACATCTAATAAGCTTTTCACGACAACTTTCCCCCGTGGGTTCGCCCTCGAGGTCGTTAGGGTCTACGCGGGGCCACCAGTGATCGTGTACAAGTTCAGGCATTGGGCGTTCATGGAAGGCCCTTACAAAGGGCATGCTCCCACAGGTGAAATGGTTGAACTCTATGGCATTGGAATCTTTGAGGTAAAAGGAAATGAAAAGTTCATCCTTTGATCACAACATTAAATACCCAAAGTATGTATTCATAATAATGTTGAGCTTTGGTTTTGGATTTTTGTAGTTGGATGAGAATAAGAAGATAGTGAAGGTGGAGATGTTTTATGATCCAGCAGAGTTGCTTGGGCCTCTTGTGAAGGGTCCTATCTTGGATGATTCTGTTGAGAAGGGGAAGGAAATTTCAGGCTGCCCAATCCTCAAGAATTTGGGATAGTGGACAAAACCTTTGAATTATTATAATATGTTGTTAAGATATTAAATGATTAAATTTATCTTAATTTATATATCAACATAAATTTTTAGATTTATTGGTGATTTAATATCATTATGGTGTGATAGACTCTTGTTTGTCCTTTGTGATTTTTTGATTCTATTCTCTCTATTCTCTTTTGTCTAGCTATGCACTTATTTGTTAAGTTAGGTAAAATCAGTCAATGTTTGTTCAATAAATATGTAATTTCATAAGTTGGTGATAGACTCATGATTCAGATCTAGTTTAGGATGTAATTTGATATTTTTGTTAGTGTGAAAACTAAACTATTAAAGATAAAAGCTTAACTGAAACTAAAGTCTAAACCTAACCCTTCTAATCTTTTAGATATTTTTCTTAATCTTTAAAAATTCTCAATTTTATTCTTAATGAATAAAAGATATTAAATTGGATCATTTCGTAAAAAATAATTTAATAAAAAATTAGACGAAACGTTAAATTATTGTTTTATGAACATATTTAGACACGAGACTCACACTTGACACATGAAAATTAACTTGCTCATCAAAATTCATTTATTCTAAGTAGGGTGTTCACGGGTTGGGTTACAGGAATTTTTTGGACCGGTTGATTAGTTCTGCTACTCGATTTAGTGTTGCAACCCAACCCTTATATTTTCGAGTTGAAATTTTTAACGGGAAGGAGACGAGACAGGAGGGAGAGGAAGAGATGGCGGAGGCGACGGTGGAGAGGCAGGATGAGGGAGATGAAGAAAAATAAAATAATGTAAAGAGGAAACGGCAAAGATCGAGAAGGGAGTGGGAGGGAGACGAAAGATAGGGAAAACGAGGGATGAGGGAGACGAAGGGGGAGGAGAAGAAGAGAAGGGGAAAGGAAATGTGGGAGAAGACGGGGGAGGGAAATGAAGGGAAAGGAGGGGAGGTGGGACAATGGAGGGAAGGTGGGATGAAGGAGATGAGGGAGAAGAAGTGAGACAGGAAGGTGGGATTGAGGGAAACTAAAACCCTAAAAGATGTGTATATATATATTTTAATAATTTGGTATTGGTTCGGTTTGGGTTGAACCGGGAAAAATCCTTCAACCTACCAATCAAACTGAATTTTTGATTCTCCTAACAAACCAACCCAACCCAAATAAAGTTGTCTGGGTTCTTCAGGTCACCGGAGTTTTTGAACACCCCTAATTCTAAGTGTGACATGCCTGACCTGTCTAGCTATAAAAGATATCAACTATTTGTTAGACAACTTTTAACCGTTTTACCTAAAAGAACTTTTAATACATTAGATTAATATTGAAATTTTTTGTGTTTCAATAAAAAAAAAAGAAAAAAGATTGAAAATTTTGAAGACTAGAGACCAACTTGAGAATTTGATTCAAGATTAGGGATCATTGTGTATGTTTAGCCTTTAGGTTCAATTAAAGTTAACATAAGTTTTTGAAATTGATATTCAAGTATTAATCAAAGATAATACTAAATGTAATATATTGTCAAATTTAATTAAAAAAATAATTATAATTCATTAAAAAATAATATTCTCTTAATTAATCACGAAATACAATTTAATTAAAATAATTTAGACATTAATTATATGTTGGAAATCAAGGCATATCTCTCTCCTCTGTCTCCTTTTTTTTAGTACAATATGTAAAGGTGGGGGATCGAATTTCTAACGTTGGAGATATATACCAATTACCAATTACCGTTAAACTATGCTCACTTTGAGATCTTTCTCCTCTTTTTATTGATCTCTTAAGAATTGAAAACCCCATCTCCAAGGTGGGATAACTAAATGAGTATTTTTAATGGGTAGCAAAAGTATTTGTCATATTTGCAAATATAGCAACAATTTTTTAATTTTGCAAATACAATAAAAAAATCTTAATCAAAATTTCTTTTTCTTTGTTATTTCAATTTTGTCATTTCATATTAGGTATATCAGTGATATAATTTATATACCGAATATGAAGAATATCAAGTACATGACTAAATATATGTATGAGTGATATATTTCTTCATATTAAGCATATCATTGATAAATCTTTTTCGAGTTGAAGATTTTGATTTAAGTAGAATTATAGGTTTTTTTTATTGATACGTAAAGTATATCTGTTACTTCAGTTACTTCATTTTATGTATATCACTTATATAACTAATATATTTAATATAAAATATATCACTGATATATTTGATATAACTAACATGAAGTATGTTAATCACAAAAAATATATGAATGATATACTTCGTATTAGGTATATCACGAAACGAAATCTTCTTTGGATGAAAATTTTAGCTTAAGTAATATTGCAGGTTTCTTAATAATTAATATATCAAGTATATCAGTGATATACTTTATTTTATATATATCACTTATATAACTTGTACACTTATGACATATATTTGTCACACTAAATGTATGAATGATATATTTTATGTTAGATATATTATTGATAATTCTTCTTCGATTTGAAGATTTTGGATTAAGTAATATTGTAGGTTTGAGTACATTAGTGATATTATTCATTTCGAGTATATCACTGATATTGTTGATATACCTAATATGAAGTATATCACTAATATACTTCAAATTAGGTATATTAACGAGAGGGGTAAAATCAACTATTGTTCTTTCATTTGAGCTAGGTATTCGTTTTTTGCTATATATATTTGCAAATTAGAAAAGCAGTTGCTATATTTACGATCAACTATTATTTTTTGCTATATTTGCAACATCCCTAATTAACTCTCATGGTTGGTGGAATACTTTTACTTTGTAATAAAAAGTTTATGATATGAAAGCGGAAATTTGAAAATAAAAAATTAAATGAAAATTTGAGTATATATTTAATAGTAGATTTAAAAATTGTACACCAATTTAAAAAGTTATTCAAAGTATGTCCAGTATATTTTTATAAATAGTGGTAATTATCTATTAAATATCTATTTTAATATAAGATATAATTAATTAATTTGTGTGACATTTAAATAAATAACATAAAATAAAATATGTATTTTTAAATGCAGCATAAAAGTTCAAAATTTAACAAAAATGAAATAATTCAAATCAAAGTCCAAGTTAAATGTGACGTAAAATACACTAACATGTCAGACTTACGCCATATTTGAAAAATAATAAAAAGTTGTGATATTTTTATAAATACATATTAAATTAAGTCAGGCATGTAATGGAGTGAAATTTCCCTTAATTTTTTAAATTAATTAACAAATTTTATGTCATTCAATTTATATAAACCAACCAAAACATAAGTCAACTGGTTAACACATATATTATCGATAAAAAGTTCAGAGGTTCGAATCTCAAACTCAAGCAAAAGTTGAATTTCAATGCTAGGATTGCAAAACCTAAACAATGGGTTAAAAACAAATCCACAAAATAAATATTGAATCCATTTGACTTGGTAAATTTAAAAACAAGAAACATAATCGAAACTACATATATGTTGAAGCAATTGTTGGGAAGTTAATCGAACTGAGAGTCGGTGAACCAAATTAACCGTCGAGTGATCAACGAGACGTTGGGTCTAGCTAGGAAAAATCGAGACCCGATAGGTTATGAATAGGGGAATGACGAGATCTTGTTGTTTGGAAGACCGAGAGAGTTGATAGTCTTCACGAGATCTTGGCTTTGTGAGGCAAAAACGACCTGCAAAAAGAAAAGTGGGTGGATGCCGACATGGTACCAATCTACCACACTCCGATGCTTAAATTAATATATGAGCTTAAGAGGAGAGAAGTAAGGGGCGACTTAAGAGGAAATGACGAACCTTGAAAGGTCAAGGACCTTTCTATTTATAGCACATGTGGTAGTGTGAACACATGGTGGCAGCATACCTCTTATTTGCGCCAACCTGCACCATGGTGTGACCTATTTAGGTCGACCTATAGGCCAAGCTATAACCAACCTATAATGATAGCTGAAGTGAAGTCGACCTATAAGTTGCTAAATATGACGCGGAGGTGGCTGTACACCTATAAGCCACCCAATATAGGGCGTAGGTGGTTGTGCACCTATAAGTCGCTCAATATGGCGCGAAGGTGTTTGCACACCTATAAACTGCCCAATGTGGGATGAGGTGGTTGTGCACTTATAAGTCGTCCAATATGGAATTTTACCTTCATTTGGCTTGTTTTAGCTGTGTTCTTCCCTGGTCCACATCCGAAATGGGGTCTTACTTGAGTTCGTGCTTGCTTGGTAAATTTACTCTCAACAATATCAAATATACCCTAACTCATCCAAATAAAGAGAATTTACAATAGGTGTCCCTATTTATCATCCGGTTTTGAAAAATGACTAAATGATATTTGATAATAAAAAATATTCATTCGTATTTTTCTAACTATTTTGCAGATTTGATTTTGACACTTCTAAGGAAGAAAGATCTTGTTGGGCGAGGGAACCAACGGTGGAGCAACGCCGTGGGTGATAAAGCTTGTTGCAAGTGGGGCGGCGGGTAACGGAGGAGAGAGATGCCTATATGTTGAGTTTCGTATAATGCTTTTTATATTTTTTTTTGTATTAATTGTTCAAAAAAATACAGCTTATTTCTGAGTTATATGTTGACCTTATTTGTTCACATTTTTTATTAACCGTTTATCGTATTCGTTATTTGTTCATCTGTTCGTCATATTTGTTATTTGTTACTCCGTTCCTCGTATTTGTTATTTGTTACTTCGTTCGTCGTATTTGTTATTTGTTCCTCTGTTCATCATATTTGTTATTTGTTCATATGTTCCGTGTTCATCTATTTGTTTCTGATTTTAGTATTTTGTTTGGATCTTAGTATTTCTGTTTCTAACTACATTGTTTTGGGTCTAAGTACTTGTGTTTCTAATTACATTTTGTTTATTGACGTTTATTATATTTCTTTAAGATTTTTAGTACCATTTTCGATAACGATTTTATTCTTTAATGATTTTTTTTAGATTTGTCAGTGTAATTCTCTTGAAAATTTATTAGAAAAATATTTGAGTTAGTAAGATTTTAACCATATTTGAATTATCTATAAAGGTGGTAGTTAGAGAAAAGTATAGGTATGATTCCCTATAAAAAAAAGGGGACAATAATATATTTATTTTGAAATCATTTTAGGGAGTAATTTCGTAGTTAAAAAATTAATAAAAATTTTCCTATTTTTAAGTTGGTTATATCTGTTTTTATCCCTTTACACCCAGGACAAAACCTACACCAAAACTTGTGAAACTGGGAGACGAGAAACTCATTACTTTTTATTTCTATACTTGTTTCAATGAGTAAATTTTAAAATCATCAAATTGATTCTTTTTTTTTTAATAAATCATCAAATTAAATTGAAACTTGAATTAGTGAGGTTAAAGTCTTGGGATTGAGGCATTTTTGCAATTGCATTTTTAGTGGTTTCCTAGTTGAATCTCATACGATTTATTGGCTGGTTTGTGACTAATTACCTAATTTAGATTTGATGCATTAAATTTATCACAAGTTTAGAATTTAATTTAATTATATTAAAAGTTTAAAGCTAAATATAAAGATAAAAAGAATTATTTTTCAAAATTCCAACTATTAAGAATAAAGATAAGAAAAAAAAAAAAAAAACTTTTTCCTAATCTTATATTATGAACAAGATTTTAAATAGCAATGTCCACGAGGATATCAAGATTTTATTTATAAAAATATTGATGTTGATGGATAAGTCTGAAATATATATATATTATATCTTATCAAATTTTAAAATGCAAACGAAAGTGTCGATTCATTGTTTCAATGTCGAAACGTCAACGTACCAACATGAGGCGGCAAAATGTCTCGGTCAGGTGCTTCCCACTTTTTGAAAATTTGGGCTCACAGTGAAAGGAGAAAATTGGTTGAATTTTAGACAGACTAGTTTACTGGTCAAAGGTTGCTAGTTTATTGGTTGGCCAGGCCAAGATTTTGATCTAATTTAAATAATAATATTTTAATTAAATAGCCACTTGCAAAAAATCGCTATAATAAATTTTAGTTTCTAATATTTTGACATTTTTTAAATTTAGAGTGGGCTTCGGATTAAAAAAAAAAGATTTAAATATAATTGATTTTACAAAATCAGAATTTCTTAAAAATTAATTTAAACTTTCCTGAAATCAATTTTTTAATTTTGTCAAACAGATCAATAAAAAGGGGAGTGATTTTGACAATGACAAAATGACAAAAATCACTCTCAAACACACTCTTAGTCTATTATGCATTATCATTTTCTAATTTAGTCTCTGTCAATAAATGATAAAATTAGATCATTACGAACTTATAATATTAGGTCAATTAAGAGAAATTTAAAATAGGAATCTAATTCCTAATCCAAATTTCTAAGATGGTGATAGAAATTTTTAAAATTAAATATCATGTTTGGTAAATTTATTATCGGTAAATTTTAACATTCACAAAATAACAAAGCTGAAAAATGTTAAAACATAATAAACTAAATTGAAACTTTTTAAACCATCGAGATTAAATTTTAAAAAAGACTAAAATATATATTTAACCCTTTTTTTCTGGGAGTGATTGTTTTTTTAATTATTATTAATTAAATTATATTAGATTTGCAGCAAAAATCTTGGCCTGGCCTACCTTTTGACTAGTAAACTATGAGTCCAATTCAACCTTCCCTTCCCCTATTGAGCCCCAATTTTCCAAAAGTGGGAAACTTTGAGCAAAGACTTTTTGCTTACCCTCCTAACGGCACATTAAATTTTTATCCATTGATATTTTTGTTAATTTTTTAAATATTTCTCAATTTCATCTTTAATATCTTTAAAGTTCTAAATTTTATCCTAAGTTATAAAATAATTCTCAATTAGATCATTCCATAAAAAAATATATAAATAAATTGTTAAAATTTGTTCACAAAAATAATATATCATTTAATTATTGTTTTATATATTTGGACACTTTAACACGTTGAAGTAAACGTGCTCAGTTGTAAAATCTAATTTGTCCATTAACAAAACTCAATTCTTCCGAGTAATGATGTCCAAACATGTCCAAATTATGATTGTTTTCATGTCCAAATTATGATTATAAAACAACAATTCGATAAAATATCGACTTTTTGTTAACAAATTCTCTTAGGCCTACCTTAAAAGTTTGAATATAGTAAGGATAATATTGAGAATTTTTAAAAGATTTAGAATCCCTAGTGTTTTTTATTAACATATTTGAACACCTAATGTCACTTGGATTTCCCTATTTGGCATATAAAAGTTGGGGAAAAAAAACACACTTGGAAACGGACTTCCAAGAGAGCTGCATTCGCCTCAATAATTACCTAACGAGAGAGAGCCGATGCCAAAGTCGCCCTTTACGCGAGGGAACGCCAGACAGACTGACCTCTGCTAACTACGTTTTATATATACTKGAAGCTAGAGAGATACTATACTGACGGTATAGTGCCGCCACCAGAGAAGGCTGCTTCATGCTAGGCGTCCGGACCTACTACGCCCGAGCCGCATTCCCGGCACACTAGCTATATCCACTAAGGCTTCATCCCACTTCATCCTACGTAGTTTCAAAGTGGACATTTTGAATCCTTGAAGTTTAAGAAATTGGTCTGAATGGTCTCTGAACTACTTTTGGTTGACCAATATTAAAATGATGTGACTTTTTTTTTTTAATATTGACTCTTAAATTATTGACTAGACAAAATATATCAATTTAATAATATATTTTTTAATGATTGGACTACTACTCTTTATTTATTATTATTATTTATTTATTAGTTGGTTATTGAGAAATAGAATCTCTATCAATCTTGGACACATGAACCCAAAAGAGAAGTCCAACTATTCAAAAATATATTATTAAATTAATATATTTTGTCAAGTCGATAATTTAGAGACCAAAAGTATCCATTTTAAAACTTCAAGGACCACATGGACATCAAATTCAAACCTTATAGACTAAAAGTGCCCATTTTGGACTTACGGGACCAAAAATGTATTTTCTCATTTGCAAAATTTGTCTCGCCCATCAACAAAACTCATTTCTTCTACATCCTCACCAGTACAATTATGTTTATAAAACTAAAATGTAATAACATATCAACTCTTTGTTCATAAATTTTAACAGATTAGGACCTAACTTAAAGTTTTTAATATAGTAAGGTTAATATTGAGAATTTTAGGAGATTTAAGGACAAAACTGAAAATTTCGATTATGTAATGTTTAATATATATTTAGCATGACCTAAAATAGGAAGGAGCTAGGAGTGGTGGCATCCATAATTCCATAACTCATAAATTATATATATTCAATAAGTTAGAAAGGTTGTAACTTAAACAAAATTTTACATTCATGATTATTATATGGCTATAAAGTAAAGTTTGGACAACATAGTAACAACAAACAATGTAGAAAAGGTTCTCAGATTACATTGATAGCAGCATTTGTAAACACTATCCTACATAATGTTGTCAAAAAAATTATCATTTTTCCATCTCTCTATATATGAAGACATGCTTTAGATTTTAAAATATCATGGTGCGTTGTGTTCCCATTAAGAATGTTAGATCTAACCTGGTTGTTTAGGCAAAAATCATCAGTCCACAGTATAAACTCCAGAAGCGATAACATGCCGATAAGCCAGCCTCATGTAGTCCACGGCAGGGATCCAGGATAAGGAGCTGCTCTGCAATATCTGAAAAGGCCTGTGATCTCTGGACAGCCGTTGGGATAAGGTATCGATCGATGGAAAGGGTCTCTTCCGAGCTTTTTGCGGTAGAGGGAACCTTGGCATCCAAAGGGATCGGCTTGGAACTGAGCTCGAACCAATGCTTCGCCTTTTAGAGCAGCTTCTTTTGAAGTCATTGAAGCCGGTTTGCCAGTGTAAAAGAACCTCGATTTCGGAAAGTTAATGGCTGACCTGTGCAAAGTTGCAAATCGCTTCTCTTTAAAATCGTAGCTTACCACCTGATATTCAAATAGTTCAACAATTACTTCACAGTACAACAAAAGTTAACCAAATTAACAAAGTAGTAAACTAGCAAGCAAACAGGCCAGAAAATGGGAACCAGCAGCAAAGAAAACTCTACAATGTAGATAATAAAGAGGAAAATGCAGCAAAATGGGTAACATTCTGAGTGAATGAGGAACTCGGATGCCTCATTGAGCAAACTCGAGCCCTGAGAAAAAAGACCACGGGTCACCTTCTCAGTGCCAATAAGCCAAAGAAGGTCTGAACAAGTATCCATCTGAGCAATAGAAATTGACATAACCTTTACAGTCCAAAATTTGGTAGCCCGGATATGAACTATCCATCAAACTCAGCATACCTAAAATTAAACATAACAACAAAGTGTGGAGTGACCTCACTATCCCCTTAACTGCTCCTTGACTAGTCAGAAAAAGAAAATCCAGCTTCAATTTTCTAAATTCTAGAATCCATTCTCAAAAATGGGTAACCATATCCAGTAGTAAGAAATCCCTGAACTGAATATTAATATAACAGAGAAAAAAACAGAAAAATGGGAAAATTCCAAGTAACTAGAGGAACTTTTTTTTTTCTTGTAGGAATACAAAAATTTCCATTGATCAGAATAGATTTTTCCTTTCATTATCATAATAATTTTTTGAAGGTTTCTGACCCACAATTTCTGGAATTGACTTGGGAGTTGATTGTATCATATTGAACTTTTCGTGATCTTCTGCAACAGGATTTTTTGGGTTCCATTGGTGGCAGCCATTGGCCATAGCTAGAACTTCACTTTGGTACCAAACAGTGCAGCCTAGGATTCCAATTCTCCAATAATACTGAAAAAACTCTATCCAATATCAAAGTTCTATTCATGAACGCCTATTACAATTACATATAGGTTATAGCCGTGCTAATAAACAACGAATTAACTAGTTCTCCTCACTTCATCAATTTCAATACCCAACAATTTACAATCCGAGAATTCCCATGTCTAAGATTATTCAATTGGTTTAGAGGGTCAGTTTCTAGGTTTTTTTTTTTTTTTTGGTAATTATCAGTGGGGTGTTGTATTGCTAGGTTGGAGCCCCTTTCTTTAGATTTAGATGGGCTGTTTTTTATGCCCCTGAATTTGGAAGTATTGCCTTTTTTCATTTTTCTTAATAAAAAGTTCAGTTTATCATATTAAAAAAGAAAAAAAAATATATTCAATGAACAAATTAATCTACTTTACTAAGAAAATGAGTAGAGGTTTTGTTGAAATTCTTGTCGTGTCCCCTGTAAATCAACTTTTATAACTAATGATAGTTGCCATCTGTCAATAGCCACAATAATACAACAATTTATTGCTTCAGGTACTCACCAATATCTTTACCACTTAATCCATCAATTCTGCTTAATTTTGTATTACTTGTTCTATTGGTGATCGACATACAGTGGTGTATTTTTTTTTCCGATGATTGGGAGTCGGAGCTTTGCTCCCCTATACCTAGGGCCAACCGCGCCCACCCCAAGACCTGGACTCAGGAGACATGAAGGATTTTTGATATTAAGCTCACTAGAAGGTTGGAACTTGAGATTTCTAAGCCAGTATGACCAAGAGTCCCCAAGCCTTTTCCAATTAGACTGCCCCTTGGAGGCGAAACACAATGGTGTCATAGAAAAGTTAGTAGTCTGACATAACAACTAGAAATATATTGGAATATAAAAGAGAAAAGAACGGTAATAACTACCAATAAACACCATACTTAGACCATCCTCTCTTTGAGTATTATGCCTAAATCATACTAAACAATTGTCTCCCTCACTCTTTTCCCACTCACTCTATTTTTAGCAAATTGTCTCAACAACTTTCCTAACTAATTCTAATACATCCTTATTACCTTGTTTTTTTTAATATCTGCGAGTGTCCATGCCAACTTACGAACACTTCGACTAATCTTATGAAGCAGCCGCCTGACCCTACAACATTTGGTGTCCGAAAACATATAGGAGTTAATTCCTAAGGTAGGTGGTCATCATGGAGTTTGAACTCATTCCCTTTCACTTTACCCTAGCCCCTTTGGACTAATGATATTCTTAATACCTTGATAATATTCTTAATTCTATCCAAATAGCATTCCTATCCTAGTCCAATCCTCTCTACCTAGTCTCTACCAACTGCGGGGAACTTCCCTTTCATCTCAAAGATTAATGCATATATTTCAACTCCAAAAAAATTCTTCAAGTAAAATGGGCTTACAGTAATGTTTTGAGGATATTTGCCAGTTAGCTCCCGGAACCGACAAACGCTGAATAGAAGATTCTCAAAGCTGTCCCTGGCATGCTCCTCTGTGAGTGCTCTTGACCTCACATTCTCTTTCTTGCCTAAAGAGACCAACACAATTTGTAAGAAATTGCAATTTGTAAAAGTTTAGTTTCTATGGTCTTTCCAAAGTAAGTATAAACTATTAAATGCTCGTATTTTGGAATGACTACAATTTTAGAATTAGTGAAAAAGAAAAACCGAATTGAATGCACTTAGTAAACAAGCACTCAGAAATAAAATATCTCCCCCAATATGTTGAGTATTCCTTTTCTTTTCCCCCTTAGTGCAACTAAACATAAGAAATTGAAATAGATGAAAAGTAGGTAGATAGAAGTAGATTATGCAATTACACAAGATATTTGAATAGAAAAGAGCCACAAAAAGTAGCCATAACATTAGCTAATTCAGACTTGTAAATTCATTTTATTTATTAGTTCCCAAATGACCGGGCTGCATCAGCGATTCTAGGAAAAACTGAAAACTAAATATGATCAAGAACCATTACAGCAAAAAGATTCTAGGTAAACTGAAAACATAAACTTGATCATTCAGATAACCTATCAACATGATAAATACGTCTAAAAGAGGACTAATTTTCGAGCAAAAAACAGCAATAAGATTACAGAAATGCCATAAAATTTACCAAACCATCCTTTTGATTCAGCAACAGCCCAATAACTCTGTGCCTCACTTCGAGGGCCAGCATTTTTTCTAGTCTCCCCACCACTGAACAGCAACAATGCTGCATCATCCATGGCTGCTATCTCAATCCCCTCTTTAATATGTGAGATAAACGTAGCAGCTTGACCCGGATGCTTCTGATACGATTCCAGAACCCAAGAATCTTCCTTCTCAACTTTCTCACAGCTACTACTGACATAAACCGAATGCCCCGCAACCATTACAAGATTCTCAAGCTTAGGAAATGGGAATCCCTCGGAATATACATTCAATTTCCCATAAGAACTCGTCATCCGATAGCGGCTTTCGTACATAGACAGGATCATGAGAAGTGTAATCCCAAGTGATAAACAGATGAACAGAACTATAACCGGATGCAGCTTGTAATAGTAGTGGACATGGTTCCCCACGGATTTGAGCATTCTAATTAGATAGATTGGGGAACTTTTTGACTTCCGAATTCTTTTTAGGATTCCTCCAGATTCTAAGTCGAAGTCCCCTCCTCTCGGATATGCATTGAAGGACTTGGGACTCGAGGACCCATATGAAAAATTGCTCATGATATGGCAAATCCAAGCGATGGGTATCGGGAAGGGATTAAATTGAACATACCCAAAATGAAAATTGAAAGATGATGATATGGGAAGATTGATTTCTTAATCAATCATCAAATTAAATGAGTTTTTTCGATGAAACGTAGAAGAAACTGACCAGATCTACGATCTAGAGATTCCACCAGTCCATGCGTGACAAATAATTAAAAATCCACTACGACTTTTTGTTTCCCCTCTCTCCGATCTGGTGCGTGACGTCCTTGTCCAATCGTCGATTAGAGTTGACGCCGTGAGTCGCCGCCGCTTGGGTCTATCTTAGCTGGGTTCGCCGGAGAAGGTACTATACCGCCGCGAGATGATGTCGCGCTGCTGTTAGGAGTTCGCTGTGTTTGTCGCCGACAGGAGTGTGCTGCTACCGTTACCTTTCGCAGATATGTGCCGTGGGGGAAGGAAAGTAGGGAAATGGACACAAATAACACAAAAAAAAAAAGTTTTCACCCTGTTAAAATAACCTCAATTTGAAAAATGGACTCAAACGATCTAATTTATTATTTGGAATACAATGTTAAAGGGTTAAATTACTATTTTAGCCTCAATTTGGAAAGCATATAAGAAGTCGCAAACGAATCGTAAACCACGGGCGTGATCGAATTAACACAACTGTGGTGTTAATGAAATATATCTCATGGATGAGGTTTGACCGTGGTTATTGTTAGTTGTACCATGGCCATGAAAAATAAGACCACGTCCGTGAATTAAATGACCGTTATACCCCTAACTTCAAATTCTAACCATTGGTATCCTTCCATTCCATCTTCCTTTCTTTTCTTGCGTTTTCGGTTTTGTTTTCGCCCATCTGATTTACTCTGCTTTCAGTTTTCTCAGTTTCACCCTCTACTAATTTCTTGCTCTGAATCGCATCCCATATCTGAAAGTTCGAGGTTAGCACATTTTATTTGGTATTTATATCGCTTTCAGGGCAAGAGAAGGAATTTTTTTCTACTCATTGTTGTGTTTTTCCCGTTATTTGTCCTTGCATTCCTTTCATGGCCGCCTATTTTGTATTTTCCTTACTTCTAGCACTGGAAATCGACGTATTTTGTTTACGATTTGCTGTCTTTGTTTGCGGTTGGTTGAAATTTTGATTTAGGGTTTTAGGGATTCTGTTTTTTGCTGCAAAAATGGTTGAAATTTTGGGTTTGCGTGGAATTGTATAAGTTTTGTGGGTTTGTGTGGGTTTTCATGTGGTTTTAGGGTTTTGGGTAGTGGAAGAACGAGGTTCTTCGTTTTCAAATTTTTGATTCAACCACAGCTGTTAACGCGACCATGAATTTGGTCAGAACCAATGGTTCATTGAAAAATCACGGTTGGTTGCACCCACGACTGTGGTTTTTCAACGAACCATTGGTTCTGTCGAAATTCACCGTCACATTAACGACCGTGGTTCGATCAAAACTTCGAAAACAAAGAACCTCGTTCAAAAACACTTGGAGGTTCCTCATATTTTGTGACATTTGTAGATGACCATTCAAGGAAAATTTGGATCTATACGTTGAAGACTAAAGATCAAGTGTTACAAATGTTTAAACAATTTTCATGCATTTGTTGAAAGAGAAACTCGTAAGAAATTGAAGTGCATTAGGACCGACAATGGAGGTGAGTATTGTGGACCTTTTGATGAGTATTATAGAAGCCATAGTATTCTACCTCAAAAGACACCTCCGAAGACTCCTCAGTTGAGTGAGCTAGCTGAGAGAATGAACAGAACACTAGTTGAGCGGGTGAGATGTTTGCTTTCACAGTCACATTTGCCAAGATCGTTTTCGGGTGAAGCATTAAGCACAGTTGTGTATGTTTTAAATCTCACGTCATGTGTTCCTTTGAATTTTGAAGTTCCGGATAGAATTTGATCAGATAAGGAGATATATTATAATCACATGCATGTCTTTGGGTGTACAACTTTCGTACATGTTCCTAAAGATGAGAGATCGAAGCTTAATGCAAAGACAGGACCATGTGTGTTTCTTGGCTATGGCCAAGATGAGTTCGGTTATAAACTGTATGATCCAGTACAGAAGAAGCTCATAAGAAGTCGGAATGTTGTATTTGTTGAAGACCAGACCATAGAAGATATTAAGAAGACAGATAAAACAGAGTTTCAGCACAGTGATAATTTGATTGACTTGGATTCAGTTCTTTTGACAAAACCTTCTATGCAAACTGAGAATGAGGTTCAGAATGATTGGTTTGATGGTACAGTAGAGAGTCCATAACAGGTTGAGGTAGAAGATGATGTTCATGAACAGTAACAGAAATTCCTCAGAGATTCCTACATAGGTTTCACTTAGAAGATCTACCAGAAACCGGCGTTCTTCCACATGGTATCCAGTTGATCAGTATGTGTTACTAACTGATGGGGGAGAGTCTGGAAGTTATGAGGAGGCCATGGAAGATGAACACAAAAGAGAGTGGATTGATGCAATGAAAGATGAAATGAAGTTATTGCATGAAAACCACACTTTTGACCTTGTCAAGTTACATAAAGGAAAAACCACACTGAAAAATAAATGGGTTTATCGAGTGAAACAAGAAGAACACACCTCACGATCGCGTTACAAAGCAAGACTAGTTGTCAAAGGGTTCAGTCAGAAGAAAGGAGTCGACTTTGTTGAAATTTTTACTCATGTTGTGAAGATGTCTTCTATACGTGTAGTTGTGGGTTTGGCAGTGAGCCTTGACTTGGAGGTTGAGCAGATGGATGTCAAGACTGCCTTTTTGCATGGTGATTTAGATAAAGAAATTTATATGGAACATCCAGAGGGATTTGAGGAGAAAGGTAAGGAGAATCTCATGGGCAGATTGAATAAAAGTCTTTATGGGTTGAAACAGGCACCAAGCCAGTGGTACAAGAAGTTTGAGTCAGTTATGGGGGAGCAAGGCTTCAAAAAGACTACTTTCGATCATTGCATATTTAGGGCAAGCGAAGAAGATTCTTGGAATTCGTATAGCACAGACAGAGCATCCAAGAAACTGTATATGTCTAAAGAGCATTACATAGAGAAGCTGCTTGAAAGATTCAACATGAGCAAGGCTAAAGTAGTAAGTTCTCCTTTATTCAATCATTTTAAATTGAGTAGCAAGCAGAATTCTTCTATAGATAAAGAGAAGGAAGAGATGAGTAGAGTGTCGTATGCTTCAGCAGTTAGGAGTTTGATGTATGTCATGGTGTGTACTAGACCGGATATTGCCTATGTTGTTGTTGTTGTTAGTCGGTTTATGTCCAATCTGAGAAAACAGCACTGGGAGGCAGTAAAATGGATTATGAGATATTTGCGGGGTACTTATAGTTTGAAGCTCATTTTTGGAAGTGGAAAGCCAATGCTTGTCGATTACACTGATTTAGATATGACAGGAGATTTAGATAATCGAAAGTCTACTTCCGGCTATTTGATGACATTTGCAGGTGGTGCAGTGTCATGGAAGTCAAGATTACAGAAGTGTGTTGCACTTTCTATGACTAAGGCAGAATATACTGCAGCAGTAGAGGCGTGCAAGGAGATGTTGTGGATGAAGCAATTTATACAGGAGCTCGGCTTCAAGCAACAACAGTATGTGATATTCTGCGATAATCAGAGTGCTATTCATCTTGGTAAGAATTCAGCATTTCATTCGAAAACAAAACATATTGATGTGACGTACCACTGGATGAGAGATGCTCTCAATGATGGATTGTTTGAACTTGAGAAGATACATAATGATCGTAATAGATCCGATATGTTGACAAAGAAGCTACCAAGAGAAAAACTCGAGTTTTGTCGTTCCGTTGTTGGGATGACAATTTCTTTCACACAGTGAAAATGAGGAGATTTGTTGGGTATTTTTCACATTATGTGAAAGCCCAACATTTTTAAGGCCCACATGGGCCATTAACCTTTATGTTTTAAGTTTTTTTTTAATGTTTTGTTTAAAAGGGAGATGCAGGCGCCTACCACACATGAGGAGAGAGGGAAAAGTTTCTACACGCAGTTCGAGGAGAGAAAACAGAAGAGAAAAAGAGAAAAGAAACTCATTCCGTACAGTAGCGTTTTTTCACGACCGGAGGTCGATCTGTGGTCCCATCGAGGTGAAATTTTGACAGCATGTACGCAACACGAGGGATCTAGACGGTGGAGATTTCTTTTGGAGCTGCCTACAGTCAGATACAGTGGGTAATTGGTGCCACAATCTAAGTGAGATCTTTCTAATTTTCTTCCCCGGTTTCTTCCCTTGTTTGCCGAGATTTATTGTCTCAAGATATTATTATTGTATGCCTCTAGTTGTTGCTAGGGAGAACTTGGTGTAGCCCATTATTAATTATAGTGGAGATTTTGACTTCGGTCTGTGAGTTTTTACTCCTCAGATTGACGAGGTTTTTCCACATTAAAATTGCTTGTGTCCCATGCTTGTTTGAATTATTATTTTTACTTGCTATTTCCTATTAGGTTCACACAAGAGGGGATAATTGGTCTATAAAATTAAGTGTTTATCCCAACAGGAAGTTCTTTAAAAAAACGTGAAAGATGTGCATGAAAACAATAAAGACTAAAACAAACTTTTATTCTCTACAATCTGTGCGAATATGTGGGTATATATTACATGATAGTACAAAAATTTGGCGGGGAATTAATAAATTGGTGGTACTTTAATAATTTTACGGCCATGAATCAAATCAAACTCGCCTAGGGTTTTAATTACATCAACCTACGTAATTCGACTATTTCTATGCAAGATTGGTTGTATTTTAACTAATTCAGAGGTATATTCGTCATGACATCCCTTCTGAAATGTCAGAAAAGTTAAAATTGGGCCAGAAAAGTGAATTTTTGTAATTAAGGTCATTGGAGTAAATGAGAAACTTATCAAGGTCACATGTGCCAATTTTCCAAGAAAGAAGGGGAAATTAACATAAACAACCTAAAAATATTTTCACTTTGCTCAAATAACCCACGTTTTCAAAACTTACCTTTTTAACCCAGCCTGACACCCCATACGAGGTGGAATTATCGTATTACCCTCATTTTTCGGAAATATGATGTGACAAAACTCGAGCAAGTTCAAAAACTTCTCGCCCAAGTTTTATCGAAAAACAAACTTGTGCAAACAATCCTGTTTACAAAGCCATCATTTTTCTCCTCGACCTAAATCTCGCTCATGATCTTGCCCGAGTAAAAGTTGTGCGAAGACAAATTAGAATGTATGTGGTTTTGCACAAATTATGGTGCAAATTTATACCTTGTGAAAAAACTTGGGGGTGTCGTTAACTAATCAGAATGTTATAGGTTCAAACTAGTTAGAACCCTACGATTTTCAACCAAACATATAATAACTGTTCAAAAAGATATATCAGTGACTTGTGAATTTATCAATCCATAACAGAAAGCGAAAAATAAAATTATGGCATAAAACAAGACTCGATTTGTAAAACAATAGATAACAT